ATGTTATTTCAGCGTAAACAAAAAATAAATCTACCTGCGTTACAGCAAGGCGGGAGACGGGGAAGGAGGGCCGCGGCGTAGCGTCACGTGGTGTGCGCGCAGGTCGCGCGGGATACGCGGGGCGCGAGCGCGGCGCGCGCTGTGTGGCGCGGTGACGCGGGCCGCCGCGAAGCTAAACAAATTTAATGTTTGAAAGAGAAATAATGTCAATGGATTTTATTTCGTTTTTTAAAACGTAATAATGTCAATTGACTTTATTTCGCACCAGGGTGGGAAATAAAGTCAATTGACCTTATTTCCGTTGATCTTATTACCTGTCACCGGCAGTGCACACATTTTCCTTAAATGCTGAGTGGTCGCCACGGCGCTCCATTTCGATGAGCACGCCGCCTTCGCGGGTTTTCCGAACAGATCGAATTACGGTCTCCGTCTTCTCAGGTTGGAGCTTACCACGTATCGTTCCCAGCACCTCTGCATAGGTTTTGCCTTCATCTGACTTAATAATTAGTTTGGCGAGACTCTTCTTTTTTCTCACCCTCTTCGTTTTTTTGCGGCTGGTCGCCTTGCCCTTATTGACCAAGGGTTCACCTGGCGCTGGCCCTGGCTTGGGCGTTCTGCTTTCTCCAACCGTTTTCCATTGATTAGCTGGTACGGTTTTCTGTGCATTATTATTATTACCATTATTGTTATTAGGATTATTAATAATAATATTTTTACTACTATTATTATTATTAGTAGTAGTATTTTCTTCTTTTAAGGCTCGCCGACTCCCCTAGTCGGATCGAGTTCGAGCTCTCTTTTGCGAGCCAGGGTCAGTTTTCTGCAGCTCGGAAAGGGTAGACCCCTTCCGGCGCTGCTCTCGGAGGTAGCTTAGTATATTTAGGCTCTCCTCGATTGGGGCCATACCCGTTTTTATGTCCATGGACACATTTTTCTCCTTGGTGACAGCACTCTGCATCTTCTTCAAGACGAGCCGAATCTGGGCCAATTGCTCATCTTCATTGCCTTCGCACGTTCCCAAGCTTGCGGTGGCATGCTTGTCCCTGTTTGCAGCAGCTGGCGTTTGATGACCACCATCCCGGCTGCCGGGAGTTGTCGTTTGCAAAGTTGTACCCTTCTGCACCACGTCGATGGCTTTCTCCGTGCTCGTGGTGCCGGCTTTTGCCTGCAGAGGAGTTTGTGGCGGGGAGCGCACAACTCTACTGCTCTTTCTAAATGCACTGCATTCTTCCTGGGGAGCATCTACACCTATTACATTTATTTAATCATGTCAGTTCTATTGGGTCTCCGCCTCAAGCCGCTATCTCCACACGTAGCACAGTCGCTTTAAGTGTCCCGAAGTTCCCTTCTCTCAAAGCAGCAGGCCATCGCGAGGGTTGACACAAGTCCTTATGGGATATTGTGTTCAGAGCCAAGACAGCGCAAAACCAGGAGTAAATCTCAACTGGACCTGTGCGGCCAACTAAATGGCGACGTGTATTGAACGTACTTGAAGACCTGCCAGGGTTTTAACGAGACGGAGGCGATTGCAGCATTAGCCCACCAGCCATTTCTGTGAGGTGTCACCCTCACATACTAAAGTGGTGGAATACTGCTCTCGCCAGCCCAATGTCGAATTAATGGTATACATGTCCCAGTATGCCATGAACAGGATCTAACTG